TTAATTATTTCTTTAAATCTTTTTATTTATTTAATCAGTAAATCAAATATAAAATCATAAAAAATAGATTTTAGGATTTTCTTAATTAAACTTAATTTTTGTAAATTAACTTATTCAATTATTTTCACTTTTCTTATTTAATCTTAAAATTAATTTGAATTAAGACTTATTAGTTTCATTTCTTTTCATAAATAAAAAATGCCAAAAATATTAGATTTACTTTAGAATTAATTTTAATTTATAATTTTCTTTTCCTTTTTAATTAATTAGATTTAATTTAATTCATTATTTTCCCTAAATAAACAAAAAAACAACAAAAAGATTCTCCTCTAATTCGCGCTCGTTTTTTATTTCAGCATTATTATTTTCATATTATTGTACCTGCTTCCTAGTTTGTAATAGTTAAAAACTAGGACATTTACCATTTTTATTCCACCAATTTTTGGACTTGTAAATCCCCCTCCCCGAGGCTCTGTAATAGCTAGATTTAATTTCCGCACTTTAAAATTCCTGTATATATATGAACTCTTTAGATGTATGATAATAGGATTGTATGGAAAGAATTTAAAACAAAACGTTAGCAAACTTAATGCAAAGATAAATAACTGAAATACAATGCACTTGCACATGCACACCTTTAGGGTATTCCCACTCCGGTTGCCTTCGGATTAAAATAGTTACAACTCTCGAAATGTGAGAGATTTTAGTGGCTACCCTCCAGTTTAAAGATCACAAAAATGACCCTCTCGATGGTGCCTCGGTATGATCTTAAAACCCTAGGATGGTTACTAAAGTATCTTGCCCAGTTTCCTTTGTGACTGTAATGATGACCCTTCGAATTTCCCTAAAAAATCCAACGATAAAGCTACCTACTCACTAATAGTAGGATAACACTGTCTAAAGGAAAAGAGGAAAAGAACGAACCTTTCGAGTAAAGTAGATAGTTTTTAGATGCTTGCTCAAAAAACAAATTTTCACATACACCAAACTCTTTCCAAAAACATTTTCAAAACACTTTGTATACGTTTTCAACAATACGAGACACATTACAAAGTTCGACGCACTAAGTCGTCTTTTCAAAATACTTTTCAAACACACAAAACACAAGGTATTTCAAAAATGAGATAACATCTAAAATCCCGTAGATAACTACGGATGGAAAGGGTGCTAACACCTTCCCTTTCCATAATATACCCCCTTACTCAAATAATCTTGAAAGGTCTTTTTCTGTTCTTTTCACCCTTTCCTTTGTTGGATAAAAGAAAAGTCGGTGGAGACTCTTGCTTACCGCAACATTTGCAAATACAAACGCAAAACTTGTACAACAGTCGATTCTGCCACCGTATTACAGAACTGGCGACTCTGTTGGGGAGATGAAAAGTGGGGTTACCTTAGAGTAGATCATTTTAAATTTTCTTTCCTTATGTGTTTTGTATGCTTTATTTTTAAAGGGTTGCTGGGGTTACTATTAAAGATCCTATACCCAGATCTGGGGCACCTTTTAGGTAAGCAGCAATAGATTGTGGAGACTACAATGTGGATCGATATGGTTGAACTGATGGTTGCGTTAGTGTGACACATTTGTTGGTACCGGTATCCCTTGTGTTAAATCGAGGAGAATATGGGGCCACTGTGTGGTGCCATAACGCACTAACGGACCTTAGAACCTTTAGTTGAACAAACTTGGCCATTAGAAAAGTAGTGAGATAGCCGGCCTCGGTATAAAGCTGAGGATTGGTTGATACTCGATACTACACTCATTGAGATCGGACTTTCGGGATATTTCGGTCGCGAGAAAAGATCGCTTGAGATGAAACAATGCTTGATAAAGAAAGATCAGTGATATTGAGACTCCTTAGAACCCGGTTACTTTTCTAGGACAGTTTGAACCAACTAAACTTTAAGAGGGTATTTTCTTATAAACCCCATGCAAGCCCAAACCTAAGGTTTTGTGTGTGATTAAATTGTTCAAACATAACATCATGCATCATAACATCCATTTTCATTTCACTAACCATTTCAAGGACCAAGGGAATTTATCTTTATTCTGTTTTGCAGATCATGGCTTCCGTTTGTAGAGCACCATTCGAACCAGCTTTGTGAGAATACCTCTCCAACTCAAAGAACTAGTATCAAGGGTCCCTGAGACTTCCTCGTTCACCAAGAAATATGGTCAACTTCTCAACCTGGTTACCTCAAGCTTTAATGAGAAGATGATGGGTGTACTTTTTCAGTTCTCTGACCCTAAACCCCATTGCTTCACATTTCCCGATCATTAGTTGGTACCCACCATGGAAGAGTTCTCTCAATTATTGGGTGTACCTATTCTTGATCAGGTGCCTTTCACCGGTTTAGAGGAAGCTCCAAAGCCCGAGGTCATTGCAGCAGCATTGCATCTGAAATGGTCAGACATTATATCCAATTGGGAAACAAGAAGCGGAGTCAAGGGTTTCCTAGTCAATTTCCTATTAGACAAGGCTCAGTTGTTCTGGGATGATTTGGATTTCCAAGCTTTCGAAGAAGTCCTGGATCTTCTGATCTATGGGTTAGTACTATTCCCTAATCCGGACTTACTCATAGATGTGAATGCTGTCAAGGTTTTCCTCTCTCGTAACCCTGTGCCTACTTTACTCGGAGATATCTTGCATTCCCTCCACACTCGTACCATGAAGAGAAGAGGGGTTCTTATGTGTTGTATACCATTGCTTCCAGGTGGTTTATTTTTCACCTTCCTCAATAAGTATTGAAGAACGAACAAGGTTTGGGTTGGTCGCAAAGGATAATGTCACTTTCTCACTTGGATATTCTTTGGTACTCCCGGTGTATGAGTGACATTTCTATCATCGACCGCTATGGGGAATTCCCTAATGTCCCACTCCTTGGAATTAAGGGAGGTATCACTTATAATCCTTCTCTGGCTCTACGACAATTCGGTTATGCTCGAAGGGATGGTCCCTATGATATGCTTATCCAAGGCATTGTGTTCAACTACGAGGATGATGTTCAAGGGTATCATCAAAGGTTCGTACGAGATTGGGGCATGGTAAACAGGTTTGATAGCAAGACTTTGGGGCCTAATACTTCCATTCTTATGGAGCCTTATCTCAAATGGGTACCAGCTCGTGCCCAAAACCTTATGATGTCGTATACAACAATCTTGCCAATGATTGTGGATCCTATTGCCGAAGGAGATGTTCCTTATACAATTCTCTATCCTGACATGCCCACTGATCTTAAAGAGTTGCAGAGGTCCTGGATTCAGATGAAAGAAGAATGGGATACCTTTAGAGCTCAGTTTTACACCAGTGAGAAGAAAGTGCTGGAACTCACGAAGAAACTTCACAAAGAAAAAAGTCTAAATGACTATCTCGACACGAAGAGGAAGCGCCCATGGGAGACTTGATTCCTAGATTTTAATATTTTTTAATTTTCAATTGTAAGCCTAAAAGGTAGTTGTAATTTGAATTCTACTAATAAAATCTTTGTTTCATTTTGGTTTGCAAATTTAAATTTCCCGAAGTCTTTGAAAACATCACATAAACATGTCATACACATCATTACGTCAAGCAGGTATTTCAAGACAGGTTTCTTATCTTTTCGCTGTTTATTTTAGCAAAAAGAAATGGCTCTCAAACAAACAGTTAAGGATCTTCAAGCATAGAACGCTCAGTTCCAACAAATGTTCCTGACTCTGGCTAAGGGAAAAGAAGATCTGAAAGCTCTCATCATTAAAGAGAAGACAAAGAAGGCAAAGAAACCGGGTGGCGTCTTAAATATGGGAAGAAGATTTAGAGGACCATCCAAGCGAGCTATAGAATTTGCAAATCCATCAAAGTAGGGGGATAATCAGGAAGAGGACAATAAGAAGACAAAAGCATAAGACAACAACCCAGGGACTGATGAAGAGGAAGCAAATTATGCTGAAGAACAATATCCTCCTGCTGATGACAAGTATAAATAGCTGGAGGATCATCTCAATGCTATGGAGATTCAGAGGGTACATGGTATGGATTTTGAAGAGTTAGGACTGGTCCCAAGGGTGGTCATCCCGCAGAAATTCAAAGTTCCCACATTTGTAAAGTATGACGGTGTTTCCTGTCCCAAGCTGCATTTAAGGTCTTATGTCAGGAAGATTCAACCCCACACAGTTGACATGAATTTATGGGTTCACTTCTTCCAGGAAAGTTTGTCAGAGACGCAATTGGAATGGTTCTATCAACTGGAAGGAACCAACATTCGCAATTGGGAATATCTGGCTGCTGCCTTTTACAAGAAGTACCAATACAATGCTGACCTCACTCCAACCCGTACTCATCTTCAATGCATGTCTATGGGTTCTAGCAAGGGATTCAAAGATTATGCCCAAAAATGGAGAGATCTTGCAGGAAGAGTTCAACCTCCTTTGTCTGATAGGGAGTTGGTAGACATGTTCCTCGACACTTTTTATGGTCCATTTTTAAACCACTTGATTGGAAGCTCTTCAGCCGGGTTCACCGAGCTAATATTGACAGGTGAAAGAGTAGAAGCTGGTATCAAGAGTAGTAAGATTCAAATGGATGCATCTTCAAGTACAGTGAAGAAAACTTTCAGTGGGAAGAAGGAAATTAGTGCTGCCTATGGCCAGAGAAATCAGGGTAAAGCTGAACGCCATCCGACGGTAGGAGCTGTAATGATCTCCAACCCTGCATCGACTCAACGACAAAGTAATCAACGCAGACAGGATGCACCTAGAAGACAATTCACCAGACTCAACATGCCCTTATCCCAGGTATTGCAGCATCTCATGAAGGCTAGCTTGGTCACTCTGAGGGAGCCTCCTCATAATCCAAACATTACATCTCCCTGTTATAATCCAAATGCTCGATGTTCCTACCACTCCAACAGTCTACGGCATGATACAAATGATTGTTGGGCTCTGAAGAATAAAGATCAGGATCTTATTGAGGCAAAGGAGATTGAATTTGACCCCCCCTGAAACCCCCAATGTGATAACTGCACCCATGCCCATGCATGACCAGGGTATCAATGCTGTTGATGATGACCTGCTTGTTTCTTTTGTTGGTGAACTCACTACTCCTCTTCCAGTTGTTAAGAAGAACCTCTTGCGAGTCAGTTTATTTCTGGGATGTGGTGAAGGTTACCACCTGTGTGCGTCTCTGCCCAATGGTTATTTGTTGTTGAAGATACGTGTTCAACATTTGATTAATGACAGGGGAATTATATTTGAGAAGACTCCCTCTACAAGAAATTTGTGTATAGATGTGTCAATTATTACCATTTTCACCAATCCTCCAAGGGCCTCCTCTAAAGTTCCTGTCAGGATTACATCCACTCCTAAGGTTTCTCCTTTAATTATCACCTCTCCTGGGCCAATACCATATTCCTCTAACAAGGCTGCTCCTTGGAATTATGGAGCTGACATTTACTACCATGGCGTCAAGCAAGACCCATTGGCTATAAAAAATGAAGCTACTGAAGATACTAATCCTAACATTGACAATATTGTTGGGACCAGTAAATCACCTGAAGCGGAAGGATTTTCTCTCCTGAAATCTCTCCAAAGAATGTTGTCACTCCTATTAATACCCCTGTTGATAATTCTTGTTGCTACTCACATTGTTACTCCTGTTGTTATTCATGCTACTGAGTCAACTGAGACTCGGCGCAAAGAAGTATTGGTTAAGCCTGCCCGGACGAAGGCACCCAAAGAAGACATTCTTGAATCCTCCTAACAGGAAATTGAGGAAATTTTGAAAATCACACAGAAGAGTGATTACAATGTTGTGGAATAATTAGGGCAGAACCCTTCAAAAATTTCAATGCTAGCCTTATTATTATGCTCCGAAGCTCATGCCAAAGCTTTGGTGAAGTTCCTGAAGCCTGCTCATGTGCCACAAGAGACTTCTGCTGACCAATTTCAGAACTGTGTTTCTAGTCTGACTGTTGATAATAGACTATTTTTTTCCGATGCTAATCTAACTCCCAAGGGAAGGAAACACAATAAGGCCCTCCATATCTCCATTGAGTGCAGGGGCACTACCCTGGCTCATGTTCTGGTGGATACAGGTTCGTCATTGAATGTCTTGCCTAAGAATGCTTTGGACAGATTGGACTGTGAAGGACTCACACTGAAGCCCAACAATATTTTGGTAAGGGCTTTTGATGGTTCTAAAAGAATGGTACACGGGGAGGTGGACATTCTTATTAAAGTGGGTTCTCAGACCTTTGACTCCACTTTCAGTGTGATTGACATCCGTCCGTCTTACTCTTGTTTGTTGGGACACCCTTGGATCCATGGGGTTGGTACTGTTACTTCTACTATGCATCAAATGTTAAAGTATCCGGTTAATGGGAAGATTCTCACAGTCCGTGGCGAAGAAGTGTATATGGTTAGCCATTTGAACTCTTTCAGATATGTTGATATAGGAAGCGAGTTCATTGAGACCCCCTGTCATAATTTTGAAGAGGTTCCTCTGACGATTGTTGTTACCAAAACTACTACCGCTCTTCCAAAGATTACCAGACCTCCACTGAAAATGGCTTCTCTAAAAGATGCTAAGGCTGTAGTTGAAGAAGGTGGGTGTACTATTTAGGGCCAACTCCCTGACATCCCCTACAAATCTGACAAGTTTGGTTTGGGTTTTACTTCAGGAGCTCAAAAAGCTATTCGTTGTGTTCACGCCGGAAGACCACCACTACACATCAGTAACCATGGAATCAATGCTTTGGAGAACAGTGACAATGACTGCGACATGGACAATTGGATCTTCCCAACTATCAATGATGGACTCAACAATTGGAGGGCCAAGGAATTTGTTCCCATTACTTTCATCCAGGAGTAATTATATATATTTTTTTTAGGATATGTAATATTTGAACAATTTAAACTCTAAAGCCTTGTGTCTTACCCAAGGCACAATGGTTTATTTGTGAGGGTTATCATTTCACTTTCATATGTCATAAATAAATCATCAGATGTTTTACATACAAATTTTACGCTCTCTGTCTTTCTTTTCTGCTTTTACTTTATCAAAATAGCTTGCTCTCTTGCATACACCCACATATCAAATTGCAGATCCACATCCACCCTGGATCCCATTGATAATGCTTATGCTATTTCCAGTTATGACTTTGAAAATATGATCTACCAAGCCGAGGACGAAGTTGAGGAAGATTGTGAAGTACCAGGAGAACTTGCTAGACTATTACATCAAGAGGAAAAAGCAATACAACCTCATGAAGAGTCGGTCGAGACAGTAAACTTAGGTACCAAAGAGAATAAAAAGGAAGTCAAGATAGGTGCCAACTTGGAAAATGGTGTTAAAGAATGGTTAATTCAGATGTTGCACGACTATGTTGAGATCTTTTCCTGGTCATACAAAGACATGACAGGGTTGGACACTGATATTGTGGTTCATCATCTGCCAACGAAAGAAGACTGCCCTCCAATGAAGCAAAAGGTTCGTCGTATATGTCCTGAGTTGTCAGAAAAGATCAAGGCAGAAGTCATGAAACAATTTAATGTAGGATTCTTAGCTGTTACTTCTTATCCACAATGGGTTACGAACGTCGTACTGGTACCTAAAAAGGACGGTAAGGTGCGTACGTGTGTGGATTATAGATATTTAAATAGGGAAAGCCCCAAGGATGACTTTCCGCTTCCCCATATTGACGTTCTGGTTGACAACACTGCACAACATAAGATATTCTCCTTCATGGATGGTTTCTCTGGTTATAATCAGATCAAAGTGGTACCTGAAGAGATGGAGAAAACAACTTTCATCACAGTGGGGCACTTTCTGTTACAAAGTTATGCCATTTGGGTTGAAGAACATCAGGGAAACCTATCAGCGTGCTATGGTAGCTTTGTTTCATGATATGATCCATCACGAGATAGAGGTCTACATCGTCGATATGATAGCCAGGTCTCAGACTGAAGAAGAGAACATTGATCATCTACAAAAGCTATTTAAAAGACTGAAGAAGTACAAGTTAAGACTGAACCCGAACAAGTGCACATTTGGGGTAAGATCTGGTAAGTTCTTAGGTTTGATTGTCAGTGGAAAAGGTATTGAAGTAGACACTGCAAAGGTTAAATCTATACAAGAAATGCCAACTCCCTGCACTGAGAAGGAGGTTAGAGGTTTCTTAGGATGTCTAAACTACATTGCCAAGTTCATTTCCCACCTAACCGCTACTTGTGAGCCAATCTTCAAATTACTGAAGAAAGATCAAGTAGTGAAGTGGAATGACGATTGCCAGACTGCCTTTGAAAGAATCAAGGAGTATCTTCAAGAACCTCCAATTTTGATGTCGCCAGTTGAAGGAAGACCTCTGATCATGTACTTAACAGTATTAGAGAATTCAATGGGGTGTGTGTTGGGGCAACATGACAAGTCTGGTCGAAAAGAGCATGCAATATGCTACCTTAGCAAAAAGTTTACCGACTGTGAAACAAGATACTCACTGCTCTAGAAAACTTGGTGAGCTTTGGCATGGGCTGCTCACCGACTAAGACAGTATATGTTGACTCACACTACCTTGTTGATATATATAAAACGGATCCTATCAAATACATATTTGAGAAGCCTGATCTCTCCGAAAGAATAGCAAGATGGAAAATGGTCTTGACCGATTACAACATCCAGTACACTACCCAAAAAGCAATCAAAGGGAGTGTACTAGCTGATCATTTAGCTCACCAAGCTATAGACGATTACCAGTCAATGAATTTTGAGTTCCCGGACGAGAATATTATGCTGGTAACTGATTGTGAAGAACCTGGATCAGTTGAAGGACCTGAAAAAGGATCCCGATGGACTATAGTCTTTAACGGAGCTTCCAACATACTCGGAAATGGCATTGGTGCTGTAATTATCTTCCCAGAAGGCTGTCATACACCCTTCACTGCCAGACTATGTTTTAATTTCACCAATAATATGTATGAATATGAAGCATGCATCATGGGTCTTAAAGCTGCTATTGACTTGAGAATCAAATTCTTGAGCGTATATGGAGACTCAGCCTTGGTAATCAGTCAGATTAAGGGGGAATGGGACACAAATCATCCTAATATCATCCCTTACCGAGAGCATGTGTTGACATTGATTCCATACTTTGAAGAGATTACCTTTGAACATATTCCACGAGAAGAAAATTAGTTAGCGGACGCGCTAGGCACCATGTCATCCATGTTAAAGGTCAGATGGGATAATGAAGCCCCTCAGATCACTATCGAAAGATTAGAAGAACCGGCCCACTGTTATGAGATTGATGCTAACAGAGTAGGGGAAAAGCCTTGGTTCCACGAAGTGAAAAGGTATCTAGAAGATCAAGAGTACCCGGAGGGAGCATCTGTCAATGACAAAAAGTTCTTAAGAAGGTTCTCTGCCAAGTTCTTCTTGAGTAACATAATTCTCTACAAGCGCAACCATGATTCTACCTTACTGCGGTGTGTGGATAAGAGAGAAGCAGAGACAATTATGGAGGATATGCACGAAGGTACCTTCGGCACCAATTCTAGTGGGCATACAATGGCTAAAAAGATCCTACGGGCATGATACTATTGGTACACTATGGAAGCAGATTATCATCATCACTCCCGAACTTGTCACAAATGCCAAGACTATGCTGACAAAATACATGTGCCTCCTGTTCCGCTAAATGTCTTGACTGCTCCTTGTCCATTCATAATGTGGGATATTGATATTATTGAAGAGATTAGACCTACTGCTTCCAATGGACACCGTTTCATCCTTGTCGCCATTGATTACTTCACGAAGTGGGTAGAGGCAGCCTCATTTGCTTCTGTTACTAAGAACATCGTGGCCTGGTTCATCAGACATAACCTTATATGTCAATATGGTATTCCAGAAAGAATCATTACGGATAATGGTACCGATCTCAATAATACTATGATCACTGCTCTGTACGCTATTCAAGATTCAACATTATAACTCTTCTCCTTACCGGTCGAAGATGAATGACACTGTAGAGGATGCTAATAAGAACATCAAGAAGATCATACAGAAGATGACAGTGACATATAAAGACTGGCACAAGATGTTTCCCTTTGCTCTTCATGGATACTGCACTTTAGTGCGCACGTCAACAGGGGTAACCCCCTTTTCTCTCGTATACGGTATGAAAGCCATCATACCCGTTGAAGTCCAGATCCCATCTTTGAGAATCATGAAGGATGCAGGTTTAAACAAAGACTAATGGATTCAGAATCGACTTGGCCAATTGAACCTAATTGACGAGAAGAGGCTCGCGGTTGTGTGCCATGTACAGATGTACCAGAAACGTATGACCAAAGCTTTTAACAAGAAGGTCAAACGTCAAGTATATCATGTTGGTGACCTAGTAATCAAGCGCATCATCCTTCCACAAGGTGATCCCAGAGGCAAGTGGACTCCTACATACGAAGGACCATTTGTTATTAAGAACATATTTTCTGGTGGAGCTATGATATTAACCACCATGGACGGTGACGACCTTCTGCACCCAGCAAACGCTGACATAGTTAAAAGATACTACACATGAAAAGAGACCCACTAGGTTGATTGGCCTAGGAAAAAATAAGGGCATCGCGGCGAACCAAAAGGGTTCAGGAAAAAATTAGGGATATATATGAAAAATCTGTACACTCGGCAAGTCGAAAACCTGAAAAGGCGGCTTGGGCAAAAAAGGTATCCCGATGGACTGAAAACCTGAAAAGGCTATCTAGGAAAAATTAGGGATTAAAAGCATACAACTATGTTCCGTTGGATCACCTTACAGCCTGGCTTCATTATCAAATTGACAAGTTCGAATGGTACGGATCAATCTAGTCAGCTTCTTCCAAGTAGCAAAGTGATGAGACGCTCGAAGATATTAAGGCAATAACAGAATTAAAACCCAATGGGATTATTTCACATAGCCGTTTTCTCTTTGTATACCACTTTGTATGGTTTTCATTTTTATGATGACATTCTCTTATTAGGATGTTCGTCTCCTTGTACAAAGACGTCTGTTATAGGAAGATTTCTTCAAATTAATACAAAACTATCTCTTTGAAAGTGCAAAACTACTTGTTTTTTATTTTTCTGTTTTGTTTGCAAAAACTTCCAGTGATTATTTTTGAACATATGCATTTGAATGTGATTACTGTTTACAAATACATGCATAAAAATAGAAAGACAGATGCTAAGGGTTTTAAGAATAGGGACAATATGGAAAAGCCATCTGGAAATCCCCACAGAACACTCCTAGGGGATCATTTTCACAAAATTCATTATCAGCAAGGGTACATTCCTCAGTTAGATACAGAGATAACGACGTCCTCCCACAAAGTCACTGTCGTATCTTCAACATATAATCTAATGATGTCAGAGGTTCTGATATCCCCAGCATCTTGAAGAATTCCTCAACATGGTTCATAAACTTCTTGGATTCCCCAACAGGGCTTCATAAAAATCCCCAAGTAGTTTACGGAGTTTTCTCTCCCGAGTAGAGTTTATTTCTCTATCCACGGAAATCCATCTTCCAGCATTTCAACTTTAACAAATAATGAAGAAGCACATTCTTCACCCTCAGCAGCAGTCATGGATTTATTTTCCCTCAATTCAATGACACTACAAGGAACAACTGATACGTTCACACATTACATTCATACATCATTCTATAAACATCATAGCATATGCATACAAAAATGCATATGGCACAATCTCATATATTTTGAGAATATCATTACCCAATGCATTTCATGCATCATGACATTACATACAGCTAACTGTTTACCTTTTCAGGAAAGATCAGCAGACCAATATCATCAATAATTTTCAACAGTCCCAGATTAATTCCTGGGACAAGACAGGGAAATTATCTGAAGTAACAGGTCATCAATCACTGTGAAGCCTGGACCCGACCAGATAACAATTAACATCAAATATAATTTACTATGAAGCCTGGAATTCGACCAGATAAAAGTTTACAATTATTACTGAAGCCAAAAATTCAATCGGATAACAGTCAAACTTCATCAACACTGTGAAGCCTAGACCCAACCAGATAGCGGTTAACATCATTGCTGAAGCCCAGAATCTGACCGAATAACAGTCAACCTACAATTTAAGACACTGTGAAGTCTGGAGTCCAACCAGATAACAACATAAGTTACTGCAAAGCCTAGAGTCCGACCAACTAATAGTTTACTCTGTCAAACTACTGCGAAGCCTGGAGTCCGACCAGATAACAGTTTACTATTTCGATTACTATGAAGCCTGGACCCGACCAGATAATAGTTAACCTCAAATTCAAGTTGAAGCCTGGACCCGACCAGATAACATCTTAATTTCTTCAAATCATTGAAGCCTGGACCTGACCAGATAATAGTTCAAGTCACTGAAGTCTGGACCCGACCAGATAACAGTTTAAGTCACTGAAGCCTGGATCCGACCAGATAACAGTTCAAGTCACTGAAGCCTGGACCCGACCAGATAACAGTCTAGGTCACTGAAGCCTGGATTTCGACCAGATAATAGTTTAACATTAAGAAAGTTACTGCGAAGCTTGGAAACTGACCATATAACAGTTAATTTCATATTCCCCAGTAAAACATTGTGAAGACTGTAATAAGACCAGATAATAACAAATTTTATTATCCTCAGTAAGTTACTGTGAAGCCTGGATTTCAACCAGATAACGGATAACTTTCATCTCTCTAGTCAAGAGATAAATCCCTAGTAGAGTAATACACAACTAAAGCTCATAGACTCTATTCCCCAAAAAGAAGTCAACAATCCCCAGTGGAGTCCTTCTGAAACAACAAGAACAGGATTCCCCATAAAAGACCTCTTATGGCTCATAGTAAATCGACCAAATATTTATCCCAACACTTCTTCCAGTTCGAAGTTAATATTTATTTTGGATGGAATCTATAAGGCCATCTCTGACGACTCTCCATCATCTCCTTCAAATGGCATCTGTAAGCCCATTTCCGATATCATCAACCAATATCGTTACTTCATGCACATGCGAGTGCAAATTTCTGGGCACTCTAGTGTTCAATCATCTTTCACCTTCAGACCACGAAAGGAAGACAAGCCAATCTAAATCTTCAGGTTTAAGAAGATTTAATAGGGGAAGATTTTGTACCCCAAAATTTTCCCTCCTATTTTACTCAAGACGTGCTCATTGAGGTCCTCAATTGCTCAAGGTTGACCAAGAATTGGCCAGATAAATTCTCCTCCTAAACAATAGACTTTCAATTAGGGTTTGAAATCACACAAAGAATTTTGGGTTGCAAATACTTCAAGTGATTTCCATGGTCCCTAAAATGTCCTCAAGAATATCCATGCCAAGTTTCATTCCTTGCACTACAAGCTTGCTCAGTCAATTGCTCAAATGCTTGGAAATCAACTGTACTAGGTCAAAAGTCAACGGTGGCCAATATACAGTCAAACTTCAAGATTTTTGGTCAACATCAACATTTTGAAGTGATGTCCATCATTTTATCAAGGTTTAATCATGATTCCTCAAGGAATTCTCTCAAATCATCAAGAAGCCAAAAGTGCAAAATTAGGGTTTCCTAGAGAAAGTCAACTGAACTTTGACAAGGCATAACTTTCACATGCTTCATCCATTGTGCCCCAACAAAACTCATTGTGAAGACAATTCAATTCCATACAACATTTATTTTGTTCTCAAGTTCAAAAAATGCATCATTGAAAAGATATGAGCCAATACATTACAGGTCTTTTTGAAAGTCAACAAAAAGGCATTTTTTGTCAAGGCAAGTTACATAAAGATAAATCCTCCAAATGCAAAAATGGTTAACATATAGATTGTAGGGGACATATTAGTATTTCCAAAACGTCCAACATAATCTTCAAAGGATACAAATTGAGCAAGTTATGGTTTGCACAAGTTGGGGAATTTTGAGGAATTTCAAAAAGTACACATTGAGCAAATTTGTATTTTTAGACCAATGGGCCTACTTTTTAGATTTCAAGTATGCTCATAGTGTCTTAAAGGACCTCTAAGTCCATTTTTTTATGGTTTTGATTTTATTTTCATTTATTTTGATTTTTATTTAATTTAAAATTAAATAAATGAAAATAAAATGCAAGAAAAATGGGCCATGACTTTTGGGCTTGATTTGATCCATTGAAAGGTCCATAATTTCGTGCAAAATACATCAAATGAGTTCAGGTTCATGAAAGGATAAGAATGTCAAGAGAATAACTCAAAAATGCATGTTTTCAATTGGTTTGATCTTGGTTTTAAACATTGGTTTTATGGCTTGATTCTTGCCAAATTTGTGTACCATTACACTCCTCTATAAATACAGAGCAAGATTGCAAGAAAAGGACACGCGCAAACTGCCTTGAAACCACCATATAAGAATTCTCAAAATTTCCATAAGTTGTCAAATTTCAAACACCACTTTGCAAGCTTCCCCCATCCAAACAAACATAAAAACCTTGTTCTTGGGATTCACACAAGCGCATACCAACCTTCATCCAAGCAATTCCATGTCCTATAGCATAGATCCACTCCTCATCGGTATGTAAGGATTTTCAAAATTGAAACTATATATTCATGCCATGTGGATTCTTTTAACTATTTTCTTCATGTTCAGGGCTATCATTAGTGCAGGTTTAACGTGCTACATGTAGGTAGAAGCGCAAGGATGAGATCGTGTCATTGCTAGGGCACGATCTGAGATTTCCTTCGAAACTCAAAATCTAGGCTGTTTCAGGCCAAACAAACTTCAGATTTGGAATCAGGGGGCTCAAATTAGGGGGATAGGGTATTTTCAACCTTTGTTTTTGGCTATTTTGCAGGTTCAATGTTGGAGACCACCAGAGAAGACAACCAGAGAGTTGACTCCGGTGAGCTGACTCCGGCACTCCAAATGTCCCTCTACATTGGCTCTTTTAGTCAGTGTACGCGTTTTATTTTTTTAAATACATCTGACTTGTTTTTCTAATATAATATTATTGCTTCACTTGTATCAACGAATGACAACCTGGCTCAGTTGGTGAAGTAGACGCGTTGCAACGAGAAGGACCTGAGTTCAATACCCAGGTCGTACATTTTATTTTTCTAACATGTTTCTTACAGACCCAACGTGATATGATCCTAGGAGCGCATCATACGCCATAAGATCTGCACCATCAAATCTCAACTGAACCAAATCCAAGCGCCTCAACATGCAACCCACGATGCATCTCCTGAAGGCCACCATAGGGGATGATGCATCATAGTCTATGCCTCCTTGAATTAGGCTTGACAAAATCTAATTCACACCCCCAACTCCTCTTGCGTCCCAAGCCCATGTTTATTTATTTATTCATTTATTTCATTTATTGTTTTAATTAATTATTTCTTTAAATATTTTTATTTATTTAATCAGTAAATCAAATATAAAATCACAAAAAAATAGATTTTAGAATTTTCTTAATTAAACTTCATTTTTGTAAATTAACTTATTTAATTATTTGACTTTTCTTATTTAATCTTAAAATCAATTAGAATTAGGACTAATTAGTTTCATTTCT